CGGCTTGGATGGACAGCTGGGGTCTGCGTTCCCTCTGAGATACCCTGTACCCAGCCGTGCAAACGCGGGCAGCCTCTGCCCAAAAACCTCGGGGGCCATGCTAGTGGGTTCGGGGGGGTGCGGAATGAGGCTCGCCTCACTGAACACCAGCTAACTGCCAGCACAAGTGGGATGAGTTGTCCCAAGTCAGTCCTGCATCCCCGGAGCAGCCCCGGCTCTGGAAAGATGAAGTTTGGGGTGAGGGTAACCCCTGACAGAGCTGGGGCAGGGGGAGGCAGGAAGGGGTTTGTTTCGCCTGGGTTTTATTTTCCATTTCTCTGTACAATGCCATATGTTATGTTATGACATCAACCGAAACAGCAAAGTAAGGTGGAAAAATGCCGAGATGGCTAATTTCCCATCCAGCTTGTGGATTCAGCTTGTGTGAGACTTCCAGGTGAGAGGGAAAAATCTCTCCATCGCCCACCCCGTGCTAACAAGAATCACCACCGCGACAGAGGAGCCGTTTGTATCGGTTCCAAACTGTTTGCTTCTGAGACTTGCAAGCAAAAATGCTTCACAGGTGCCACCGAGGCTGGCTTTGACCGCGCTCCAAGGGGAAGGAAGCTACGGGGAGGGATGGGAGAGCCCTTTGCTCCCATGGGGGGAGGCCGGAGGCAGCGGTGAGGGCAGCGATGGGCAGAGGGGCTCAGCTGCCCTGGCAGCGCAGTCGCCGTGTGGGATGAGCAGAGCTCAGGCTCACAGGCAGAGATGCGGGACAGCTCCGTCGCACGCGTCTGAGGGCACCCGGGTTTCGGTGCAATGTGCTTCTGTACGGATATGCACAGAGAGATGTTTTACACCCGCCCATAAGAACTATTGCCAGGTGCACCGAATATCCATGGTCCTCGGAACAGCTGAGGATGGGGCAAAAGAGCAAAGTAAAGAGGGTGAAAGGAAAGCAGGCAAAGGTGAGAGGAAAGGGCAGCACGTCGTCGCCTTCCCCTCCACCCGAACACGGCCGGTCCTGCCCCCTGCTCCGTCTGCTGCGGCCTCGCTCCCCCTGGGCGGCCGAGCCCCCTGCAGGGATGCTTGGTGTTACCTGTGGTGCTGGCAAAGCCGCAGGGATGAATCCCCAGCCAAAGCCCACGCTGGTGCATCAATTCTTCCAGGCTGGTTAGGCTCTGGAACAGGGGCACAGAGTTTTCAGCTCAGAAAGCAGTAAATTAGGATTAATTATTTGATGCCCTTGTACAATGAATGATCTTTGGCTTCCAAGCACAGACTTGGCTGTGGGGGTAACCAAGGACTTGTTACTGCACCTACAGCACCTTTGGGATACTTGGTGCTTTAAGATACCTGTTAAAATACTCTCAGTGTCCCATGAACACCTTCCTCTCCAGAGGCCGTTACCTTTTCTGCCTGCCTTGTGCAGGATTATGTCACTTTTATCTCCTGGATATGCTGGTGGGATCCTTCACAAACCAGCACCTTGCTAGCTGTCCGCAGTCTTCCTCCCCCCACCAGTCCCCCAGCATGTTTTGAACTCGCAGTCCAAATTTAATACCATTTAATAGCAGCAGAGATTGCTTCAAGAGATAAAATCCATACAAACTTTGTGAAAAGAGGCAACTAGGGCAGGGGAGGAAGGGCCCTTCAAACACCCCGGGGAGAGAGGGAGCACAACCTCTACGAGACAGTCGAGACTCCACAGCCGCCTGCGCCCTGAGGACAGCGCTGGTGAGGGAAGCTTGGGCTGAGAATGTCCGGTGGAAGCTGCAATGCTGCTTTTTTGCTGGGGGCAGAAGGAGAAGGGTTGGGGTTCGTTGGCTAATTCCTGGCGGCCTCCCCCGGCGCTGGCGCGCTGCCCGCGTGG